GGATGGCCTCCACTTTAGATTTAAAAAACGCTGCAAATTGGTCAGGTGAGATGATAGAAGGAGGCCCTTCACCCTGGCCAATTCCGGATAGATCGCGAACTATACGGAAAAGTTCCGCCTGCCGGTTGGATGCTTCGCTTATCCGGTCAGCGACGTAAGCTCTTCTAGCAGCCTTTACCTTGATCCTGATAGCAAGCTTATTGTAAACCGTCGGTTCCTTCCTCCAAATGCACTCTAGCCGTCTCCTTATTCGCTTCATCGCTCGCAGATCCTGGCCATACCAGGGTCCTGGCCGAGCTCTACTCCGGAGAGGGCGTTTGGGTGCGATCGTGTCAACAGCCCTAATGGCGGCAGAGAACCAACCTTCAACCAGGACTTCAACAGGAGCGCCAGACAGTGCCGCTGGAATCCCTCTCATGGTATCCTGGAATCTCATGGGATCCAGTAACCTTTGAGGGCAGACCATCAAAATAGGTCCCTGCTCCCTGCGGGAGGGAAGCGCCATTGCGAGGTTACAGATAAAACTTCCAGGAGGTGAATGCTTCTCTGTCCTATTGCTCGGACATCTTCTTCATAGGTTGTATACTAGAAGATGCTGCTTCCTCAGAAAATAACATGGTAGGAATCTTGCACATGACCCAAATCTCCATGAGCAGAGCCAAGCAAAATTATATAATGCACAGAACTTTCCTTTTAAAATGTAAGCAATACAAAATAAAATGCAAAGAAATTGAAAATCTCTCCTTGGAACAGAGGATTGTAAGTCTGTAAATAAGTCAGTAAATTAATGTATAAGCATTCAGCAAATCATCAGGTCTGGACAGCCAACCTACCTCTACCTCGTTTTCTTTCATTCCCCCTTCCCCCTGCCCTACATTCTATCCAATTCAGCATCATCTCCCAGCCACTGTTCAGTATGGGTGTGGCAGTGGGGAGAGGCTGCTGTGGGAACAGGGGAAGAGAGTGCTCCACTTTCCCTAGTCTTATATTGTGGGCACTGCAGAATGTGAAGAGTCTGGTATAACCAGTTTAAGTTATATATAAAGGTCATACCACAGTAGCACCTTTTACTAGGCCAACTAAAAAGGCTTAGAATCCTCTGTGCAAGTTTTCAAGACCTACAGGTACCTGTGGGAAATGGGGGAAGAGGGTGAATAATTTAGCAAAACCATGCCTGCTGGTTGTGTGTTGAGATGTTAAATGGGTAATAAGTCACAGATAGGACTTGCCATATATTTGGTCTCACCTTGAATGATCACTAGCCTCTCTGAGCCTCTTCCTCACAGAACATTTCAACAGACAAGCAGACAACATGGCTTTACTGACATCAGATCATTTTCGTCTTAAAGTCGTCCTCCTTTTAAAAATCACCTATTTCTAACATCTTTCCTTGAAGCTGAAGAAGGAACCTGTAGGTTTTGAAACCATGCACAAAGAATGTGTTGCATTTCTTTTGATGGGCTACTATAACAGCCACTCCTGCATTTTGTATGAAGTGTATATTTTTAAAAAAACAAAAACCAAACCAAAACGTTTCGATTTTCTTTCAACAGAGAAGACAAGGTACCACCCACTCTGTTCCCTGTTCAAAATGCTTGGTGCCAAAACCCAAGCAATCCAACACATCCCCATTACTCTGTGGGAAGATACTTACCCCAAGGCAGTGGCAGGAGCCAATCGTGTGGTCAAACTAGGACCCAGCCAGTACCACCTAGTCCAGATCCTGGTGAGTTTGAGAACATTGGATATAGTCTTTTTTAAAAAAGTAATAAAAATACTGCCAATCAACAGGACTTCAACATCGGTGACAAGAATGAAAGATTACAAGCATGGTCTCATTCCTGCCAACATTTATTGGTAACACTTCCCTTGCATCAGTACCAGATGTTTTCTGTTTCATATCTCTTTTTAGTAAGTAAAAATGAAAAGCAGTAAGGCTTCATCAAGAAGAGCTTGATTTGTCGACTGTGTGTTGTTATTGAGCAAGTGTGAAGAAATGGCTAGAACACTGTGTGAACATCAGGGGAGATGCTAGGAAAGGTTTCTGTGGAGAGATATTTCATGAGGAGAGATTAAAATTAACTAAATGCATGTCTCACAGCTATTTTAGGTTCAAGTAATGGAGTGCGCCAGAAAGGGAGAAGATTGATTGCAGTTCTCTCTGAGGGGAAAAAGATAGCTCCAAAGTCTTGTGTAGATGTTTATTTTCCAGAGATTTGGAGGTAGACTTCTGAAGTGCTTGCATCTGTGGTCCAAGTGAGAACAATCTAGCTAAAAAATAAATTCTTAAACTTATGTTCCACCGATTTCATTGGAAGAATCTAGCTCTTTCTTTAGTCTCATTCCAATGTAAAGCAATGGGATTTAAAGATAATCTTAGATGTCTTTACATACTTTATTTTGCTGATTCTTTGGTCTTTGATCAAAGTGATTTTATTTTCTTTTTAATATATAGGCTGTAGGCAACCAATCAGACAAAATACTACACCATCGTAATGGAAATCTGCAGCACTGCAGTGCACCGCATACATGGGGAGAGGGCTGTCAACCCCCAATTACATTAAAAGCCCTCTTGAATTTAGAAATGCTTTAACCATTTACCTCAGGAGAAGGTTGGCTCGAGGAAGCTAGCCCATCATAACGTCCTTTTGTGGGGAATTCCACAGAGAGTAGTATCATTACTGAGAAAGCTCTAATCATCATCGCAGCCTGCCATCACTTGCCTCCTTTGTTAGTGAAGGTCTCAGAATTTGAGTGAAGGGGATAAAGCAAGAGGCACTTTAGGTAGACTGTACCCTCACCATTTAGACTTTTACAGCTCAAACCCAATAAGTGGTCTCTTATTCTGAAGTGCCCTCAATATTCAGTGTTCAGATACCTTGTAGTATGAAATGTTAAGCTTGTTGGGTGTGCTGCAGGCACCACATATATGGCCATGACTCCTCAACTCTGGCAAGCTATTTTCCAGGGCATGACTACCACTGTGGTAAATCTAGAACAAGAGGTTGTAAAGGGAAGGGTGTAGCGGGGGAAGACATTTCTCACTCTCTACCTGTCATTGTTTGACTTAAACATGCTCCCTTTGCCTATGACGTTCTCCCTAATGCAGTGGGAAATTAAGCACTGCCTCCCCGTCCCCTACAGTATGCTCCTTATATTATGTGGTACCCTTCCATGTCACCTTGACAGAGGAGGCACCCATCTATTTGCCATGCAAAGGAAGAGGAAGTGTCCTCAAATCACAGTGGCAGAGACCTCCCACCCACCCACATATCAAGATGGAAGCAGCACGCACACACCACTATCAAAGGCCAGAAACGTGGCACCATCCACACACAAAATGACCAATGTGGATTCATTTCCCACCTTTTTTGAGAGACTTGGGTGGCCCCAGCTTCATGGGGCAGGGGAGCAGGGATAGGGAGGGCGTGATGAACCTTTTCCACCACCAGTGGGTGGCACATTACCGTGGCCAAGTGTGGATTTGAACCCAGGTCTCCTGAGCCCTAGTCTGACTCTCCATCCACTACCCTACACTGGTTCTCATAAAGCAATTTCATTGTACCAGTTTAAATGACCTAAAAGAACTAAAAAGTCCTTCTAATAGAGAGTATTATTTCAGCTGTGAACTCACTAGATGTCCTGAGCAATGACTGTCTTTTCACATGCCGTGCCCCTACAGAGGTAATAATGTTGACCCCCTTCCTTTTTCTACAGGAGTTTCTGAAGATGGGCGTGGGGAACACTTAGTCTTCTAGGTGTTTGGGCATATCAAACATGGCCTATGGAAACAGACTCTGGGAGATACTGTCTCAAGTATTAAGATGGCTAAAGCTTTGCCACCTTTGTTGAGCACACACACAAATGCAATGTTGGTTTTATGCAAATGGTTCATTCACTCCTGTTGAAAGAAAAAGGGGTTAAAAGCATTCAAGCATGTCTTGATCCACACTATGAATTAATGATACCTATGATGTTAAAAACCACTTCACTGAATGTGAAATCATAAAATGTTTTGCTGCTGCTGAAGTACATATTGGCATTTCTTTTTCTGTCTATGGAGTTTTCCCAAGAATACACAGACAAATACAGTCATTATTCTTATTTTATTAGAAACCTATGAGTTTACAATGGCTTGAAATATCCTATTCCTGCTAACATTTGTTTGGCTGACTTTGGATTTGGAACAATGCAGCTGTTAAGGGATTGCATTTTCTGTGCATGTCTAATGTGTTTACTAGCAGGTTTATAGCCTACATTACATAACTGTAGCCCAGGAAGACAAAGACTTAACAGTCTTTTGGGGAGAACATTCCTGTTTCAGTGGTGCTTATGCTTGAGAATAGTTATCAAGCAGGTGCCTGAAGAGATTGTAGCTATTCAGAGCTATAGATGTGGTACTGCCAGGAAATATCTATTGGAAAAGGGGACAGCATCTCCCAGAAGTAAGACTAGCACTGTTAATGAAAATATGTACCTATGACTGAAGGTCACAATGACAGGAATCTATTTGGTAGCATTCATAGTGAATAACAGAGTTATCTGTCTACTCACACCAACTGGCTGGAGCATAGCCATACAAATGTGAACGTACACTTTAAAAAGGAAGGAAAAAGCAGTGAAGTTCACTTCATCTGTCCTGTTATTTGGAAATAATGCTTCCTATAAGATTGGCTAGGCCAGGAGCTTCTTGCCATCTGGTGCCATCAATTCCAAAAGTCCATTGACATCGGAAAGTGCCTGTCACTAGGCAAACAGAACAGGTTTGCTATCCCCTTCTGCCCAGTCCAGGAGAATGTTTATATGAGAACAAATGCCACCAGGAAGTTCAGGAACATCAATAAGGTTGTGCTCATCAGTAGGGCGCCTGGGAGTTCTGACTCCGAGAGAGGCTGGAAAAACAACCACTAGAAATTAGGCCTTCTCGGTGGTAGTGCCACAATTATGGAACTCTCTTCTGCCCGAAGTCTGCCTGGCCTCCTCACTGGGCACCTTCAAAAAGCTACTGAAAACCTGGCTACGCTCTGATATAATAGTGTCCAATAATATAACTTCTATCATACCGCCATGCTCCATGTTTTTATTGTTCTACACTTTTAATTGTATTGATTGTATTATAATTTTACCCTCACTTCACTTTATGGTTTTTGATTTTCACCCCTATTAATGTTGCTATTTGCTATTTCATTTATCACCCCTATTAATGTTGCTATTTGCTATTTCGTTACTCTGTTTTGTTGTAGTTGTGTTTTTTTGTTGTTGTTGTTATTTGTTGTAAACCGCCTAGACTGGCCTTGGCTGCCAGATGGGTGGTAAATAAATAAAGAAATAAGTAAGTAAGTAAGTAAATAAGTCATGTATCAGTGTGACCAAGATAGTTTCCACATCAAGCAGAGCTGAGAATTCATATAATCATCTCATCTAAAAGTATGTGGAGTTGAACAGCAAACACTTACTCAAAATCCTGGTCCAGGAAGGGAATATTGGGTGACTGTTGCTATTGTTGTGTGTGTGTCATCAAGTCGTTTCCCACTTAGACAGTATGAATTATTGATATCCAGAAGGTCCTGTCATTAACAGATTTGCTTACGTTTTGCAAATTAAGATCTGCTTTCCTTTATTGAGTCAATCCATCCCATAATAGGTATTACCTTTTTCTTACTGTATAAAGCTTCTCCTAAGATTATTGTTGTTTCCGGTGAGTCTTCTTTTTTCATAATCTGCTCGAAGCCTAATAGCCTCAGTTTAGCCATTTTAGCTTCTAGTGAGAGTTCAGGCTTGATTTGCTCTAGAACCCACATTTGTCTTTTTTGATGATCCATGGTATCTGTAAAACTCTCCTGAACTGATTATAATTTCCACATCAACTTTCTTCATTGCTCATTCTTGATTGACTTGTAAGGAGGGCCAAAGAGTTGAACATACCTGTAGTAGTCCAGGTGTGAGCCAGGCACTTTGTCCAGAACTTTTGTTGTTGTTGTTGTTGTTTAGTCGTTAAGTCGTTTCCGACTCTTCAGAACCAGAGCGTGCAAGGCCCTCCTGTCTTCCACCGTCTTCCGGAGCTGGGTCAAATTCATGTTGGTAGCTTCGGTGACACTGTCCAACCATCTTGTCCTCTGTCATCTCCTTCTCCTCTTGCCTTCATTCTTTCCCAACATCAGGGTCTTTTCCAGGGAGATTTCTCTTCTCAGTCCAGAGCTTTAGAGTGCAGCAATTCAAAATTCATCCAATAGAATGGGGCTATATAGTAAGGCACCTGTCATAATAACATGACTCCATATAGACATTTATAGTATAAGTAATTTTGCTTCCCAGTGTGGTGTAGTGGATAGAGTGACAGGCTAGGACTGTGGATAACAGGGTTTGAATCTCCATTTGGCCATGGAAACTCTCTATTAGGGTCACTCTAAGTTGGTTCTGACTTGACGGCACAGAACATGCAATTTTATCTTTAAAGGGTTCAGCAAACATGTCACATGTGAAATTATAATCTCATAAAATTCTCCCCCTTAGATAAGTTTCATAAAAGTAAAAAGAAAGAACTATACTTTATATATTCTGAAGAGAATTCAGAATATAATATGCATGGCTTAAAGGACCAAGGACTGTAATTTCCACATGTTTGAATAGCCCTAGTTAGCAAAGTTAAACCACAAGCAACTGGGATTTTGTAAAATATGTTCTAGAATTTTGCTATTAACAGTCGTCGATAAGATAGATACCACCACTATTTTTACCATTCCTCACACATTTTTTCCTGTTAACACAGTGTGTAGAAATTGACTTTTATTTCCCCTCTACAGGTGTTCTCTACACAGGAGGTAGTTGTGTAAAGCCAGCAACAGGAGATGGTAACAGAAAAAGCAGAGTAAAACCAACTCGCTCAGTAGGGGTGAGTAGACACAATGTGACAGTTACAATGATGATCATTATTGCAGCACTAGTGGACATGCAGTTTTACAGAGTAAACACACAGAAAAATAGTTCCCTGCCCCCAAATTCTCGCAATCTAAACAAATGGTGATTAGCTGATAGAGAGATGGAGGAAAGTAGTGAACCAGTGGAAAGAGGGGAAGAATGAAAGAAGTCAGGTCACAAAGATGAATGCAAATCTCTAGACACAGTGAGCTGATTTTGTTTGGGCATGGAAACCGCAGGGATGAAGATGAATCCATCACAGAAAAAAATGGGGCACAATCTAGAATTTGAAAGAAAATAGCCATGACAGCATGTTAGTGTTTAGGAAGGAGTGCCAAGCATAAGGGAGCAGCAAGGGTAGACGTGACTGGTACTGTTTAAAAGACCAAGAGTGCTTTAGACAATGGAGAGTGGTGGAGCTAAAGCAAGAAAGGAAGAGTTTTTCATTAGTAGACCTATTCCTCCCTCCAATGTTTTCTGGGTTTAGTGCCACTCTGTATATCTCTTTTCTTCTGTCTCTGGACCCATACCTGCCAACTGAGGATGCCCACAAAAGTTTATATCACAATAAATGTGTTAGATTTTAAGATGTTTCCTTCCTTCCTTCCTTCCTTCCTTCC